TTTTTTTTGGAGAGATTTTTCACTGTAGGGCGCGTGCACTCGCCAGACAGACTGAGAGAGACATAGAGACAGAAAGCGAGAAATCACCCCCCATGGGGGATGGTCACGCTGCAATCCCTTCTCCTCCATTCTCCTCTCGGGATCTTGGGCACGCACACACATGCGCCCGGCGTGAGTTTTAAGCCACCGGGTCCGGGACACGAACCGCAGTCAACTACGTGGGAGTCTAGTGACATAGCCATTACGCTAACTGCTGGTTCCCGCTTCTCCCAATTCTTTAAGGAGCTTTTACAGATTAATTTGATGACTGTGACTGAGTGTTCTCTCTGCCGTTCTTAAGGCTATAACTATACTAGTACATGCCTTTCATGTTTTGAACCATCTCTCTTCGAATGTGTATCTGTATCTAAGGGGCATCATAGTCTTACCATGACAATAAGAAAATTTTAAGAAACAAGTACTCTCAGATTTGCATACCAGTAGCTTTTTTTATTTATTTATTTATTTTGCTTCTCACATATCCCCCAAGAATCCATAAACACAGCCTTCAGGTTTGTATTAGTGGAGAAATCCTCCCGAAAGCACAGGATTAAATCCTGATAGGGCAGAAGATCCAAGATACAATGGATCAGGGTGCCTACATAAACCCTTTTCTATACTAAATCACTTACCATGCAGTCTAGCAGGGTTATTCTTCGTTCCATTTCTTGGAACTACAAGTGTCCTGGACATAAACTGTGAACAGTGAGCTCAGGAGTCAGCAACCTTTTTCTGTAAGGGGCCAGATAATAAATGCTTCATACTATGTAGGACACAGGGTCTCCAGTGCAGCGGTTCAACTCCACCATTGTCGCACAAAAGCAGCCTCAGGAATATATAACCCACGAATGCAGTTGGATTTCAGTAAAACTTTATTTACAAGAATAAAAGGGCGGCGGGCAGGAGGTGGCCTACCAGCCATCATTTGCTGACCCTGACGTAGGTGTACTGGGAGGTGTCTGGGGAGTTCGAGTTTTGCCGAGTCTGACATCTGCTTTGCCCCTTCTTCCTTACTCACTTGGAGAGCAAGAGTGACTGCAGAATCGCTTTCTCCATATGCCAGGTAGAAAGTTGCTAAGAGAGTCGCTGTGCTCCACCCACACAGAGCTGGTCTTACCTAAATTGTCTGTGGTGTTCCGAATGCGTTTTCCTAGAGCAGCCTTCAGCGGTTAGTGAGTCGTAGACGTTTGAAGCCGAGAGTCCTCAACAGACAGATTTCTGTTATCTCAGAATCTATCAAAAATGGAACTTTGCAGAAGTATTATACTTAGAATAGTAATTATTAGTGAGTTAGCTCAATTTTCTGGAACCTGAATACCTCATTCAGAATTTCAAACAGCTGGGCCAGCAGGTGGCGAGGTGGTTGAGAAGCTGGACTCCCACGTGGCTAACCACGGATCGAGTTCCAGACCTGGTGGCTTGCTTTCTCTCTCTGGTCAAATTCAAAAATAATAATAACAACAAATTAAAAAAAAGAATTTCAAACAAATGACTTTTTTTTTTTTTTTTTTTGAGAGAGAGGTTTTTGCTACAGGGCGCGTGCGCTCGACAGAGACAGAAAGCGAGGAGAAATCACCCCCCAGGGGGGATGACCACGCCGCAATCCCTTCTCCTCCATTCTCCTTTCGGGATCTTGGGCACATACGCACACGCGTCCGGCGTGAGTTTTTTAAGCCACCAAGTCCGGGACGCGAACCACGGTCAACTACGTGGGAGTCCAGCGACATAGCCATTACGCTAACTGCTGGTCCCTCAAACAAGTGACTTTTGACATGTAATCTGTTTTGAGTCCTGACGTTGCCTGTTATTTGGCTTTTTAGATCAGCCCTCTAGTTTGATAAACACATCTCTCATAGGACTCTGCCATGTGTGGTCGTCCTTGTAATGCCATGTTTTTAAAGTGGAGCCTCTTTCTGGGGTGCACATCCGCAATGGAGTGAGCCTGTTTTTTGGAATGCCCAGCGGGTCCTGGCCATCTCTGCTGTCCACACTGATGAAGGTAGTTGTTCTCTGGTATGAAAGGCGGCGTTTTAGGACAGCACCACATCGGCGTTCCCAAAGCTGTTTCTGAACTCAGGCTGAGACCAAAGGCAGCTTGAGCAAAGATTTCTCAGGACCTGGATGTTTTCAGTCCAGCCTGTGTTTCCTACATCCTGGTTCCCATCGAGGGAATTCCTTTCTGGAAGAGGAAGATGCTTGGCTCATATCCACTAGGGAAATACTAAATGTGACTTTCATCACTTTCCAAAGTCCACGACGGAGAGTCTTTAAGCATAACCTGGAATGCAGCCATGTGATTCTGCCCTGACCCTTTACCTCACACCTCAGCCTGGGCTGTGAGTGTTGAGATTCGCACTCCATTATTCAGTGATACTCACGTTTCTTTTCCTCAGGTTCCTCATCTGTAAAACAGGAATAGATAGTGATAAATAATGAGAATTAAATCAGCTTTAATATTAAAATAATTTAAAATGGGATTCTGTGTATGAGTATGTGCATGTATGCACGTGCAGACGCAAAAAGGCTAGCGTTGGCAGACGGCAGGCCTGCTCGTTTGGTATCGCACACGCGTCACACAGACTTTTCAGTGTCCACCCACACGAGAGGACTCAGGCTTCCCAGAGTGTAAGATACAGCATTTCCTCAGAAAGGTGAAATACCTCTCATCTGAAGGGGAAAGTTTACGTAAAGACGTTTGAGCTGTAATGATAGCATCGTTAGGGCCTCTAGGGAGCGATTTAAAATGGAAATACGTTCTGCAGAGAAAAACTGGAACACATCAGTGGTTGTTTAAATATGGGTGGCATTTACTGAAAATCAGAGTCCCCCCTTTTATGGAGCATACTTTGCGTTCAGTTTGCTGCTAGTTATACAGCAATTCTTTACGAATGACATTTGTTTGCATTAATTCCCTCCAGGCAGAGGCTCGTCTGCTTGAGGAGCAGCGAAGAGTTCAGGTGTACCTTCATGAGAGCACACAAGACGAACTAGCCAGGAAATGTGAGCAGGTCCTCATCGAGAAGCACTTGGAAATCTTCCACACAGAGTTTCAGAATTTACTGGATGCTGACAAAAATGAAGGTGAGCGCTGAAACTCACAAAATGTAGGTATTTGTTATCTGTGGTTATGAAAGGGCTTGAAACCCTAGACCCTGAGATACCAACATCCCCCGTGTCAGGCCTTATAAAAAGCACACGCGCCCAGGTCTGCTCATCATCGAGTGTTGATTTCACACCTCCAGGGCCCATTCGTACACGTGACTCAGAGAGAGCGTCTGTTCACTTGAACAGACTGGTTTGTCCGTGCACCTCAGCCGTAAATGGCGCTCCTTCTGTTGAGTCGTTGGCAAAGTCATGACATGTTTTTCTATGCCCACATACATCATGACTTTGCAGTGACCCAGTAGTTTTCAGTAGTCTTTGAAAAATTCTCTGAGATGAAAAGATTATTGGTGTATATTTCTCTTAACTGCTCCTGTGTTTTCCTGGAATACGTTTGGAGCTCAGTAAAAGACTAATACTTGCATTTGAGACTTATCCTCCTAGGTCCTCATAAATTAACTGCTGTACACATATTAAATGAAGACTGCAGAAGACTGAACATAGTAATCACGAATGTTGAAATCTCAAAAGGTCAAGATGTGTAAAGTCTAAAACCCCCAAAAGATCAAAATCTTGAAAATGTAATTCTGGAAAATAATAATAAAATTCTTAAAAGATGTGTATTTATACTTTGATTTAAATTCTTTTTATTTTTTCAAGTTTTCTTAATTTATTTCTTCCATGAGAGAGACAGGAGCCCCCAGTAGGGTCTTCACGTTGCTACCCACCTGAGCCTCAGCCCACAGAACCACAGGCACGTGTACTCAGACACACCGGGTGTGACAGGGAGACTGGGGAAATGACCCTGGGACCTCCCATTTGGCCTCAGCATCATGTAGAATTGCACGATGGCTGCATCACCGCTGCTGCCTGCCCTGATTTACGTTTTTAAAGGAGGACCGACTTGAGAAGCGTGTGAAAGCATGACGGTTCGTGTTATAGGTCAGCCTTGCACGATGACGTCGGCAATGATGGCGTTGCAAACTTTGCAAGCATAAACACTCAGGGATAATCGCAAACCACACTGGTATGACAGGAACAGATGAACCATATTTTTAATTAAATAGATCAAAAAGCAAAAAGTCTTGACATTACTTGAGGAGTACATGTCACTTTATTGATGGTAATTATGTGACTAAAATATGACAGAAAAGTTTGATCAAAAACTGCAACGAG